AATAGTCGAACCTCATGTAACCAGTCAACAATTTTTTCGGTGTTGCGTTTTAAAATGTTTTTCATTATCGAACCATCATTATTCGAACAATTAGAGAAGAAGGGACCGATGCATGAGATTATATAGCCGGTCGTTGAAACTATCATCTTCGGCTTCAGAAGGGATCTTTTTTTGTGAAGTTTATAGGATTTTCTTTGAAAATTGTTATTGCGAGATTTTTAGTAAAGAAACATAAAATATTATCGCTGCAAAAGAAAATCACGATTATTTACTTGGATGTACACATATGTGCCATCAACTACAATTATTGCTTTATCTGATTTTCCATCGCACATTAGATCACGGGCTATTCCTGACGTGTGTTGTTCGATTATTTCACGACGACTTATATGATTAAAACCTAAATTAAGTGGCACAAACGTACTCATTAAAGCACTCCTTGCACTTTTAATAGCTTTAGATATTGTTAATTCATTTTGTAGTTGGAATGGTGATGCCAATGCACGATTAGATAGTCCAAGTCGAAGCTTACATAATAGAATTGCAATAGCGGTACGAATAGATCGGTTATTTGAATCGCGCATATCAATTCTAGATACTTGGGAGATTAGATCATCAAAATCATTTTTTGAAAGACTTGTAAAGATTTTATATTCATCATCAGATAATGATAGAGTATTGGTGAAGTCTAAACGTTTACGCATATGAAAGAACAATTGACACTTAGATATTAGAAGCTGAACATCACCGGAATCAAGTTTCTTATATTGTATTGAAGATGGTTTGATACTATCAATAGCTGACATTGTCAACCGATGATTATTAACATGCTTTGCACAACATCGCGCTCCTTCTGGTACGAAAACATTCTTTGAAAAAAAAGATGAGATCTCGATCTTCACTTGAAATGGTATTAGAACTTCCATCAATAGTTAATTGACACACACACAACAAATTCTATAATTTCATTATAAAGAACTATGTTACAATGAAAACTAAGTTTTTCACTTATGAGAAGAGATTGTGCAATTGATCTGTAGGCAGGGTTGCCAGATCGTCCGAATTAGTCGGAATTTCCCGAATTTCCTAAGTTTTTCCGACTGCCTTTCCGACTTTCCGAATTTATCCGAATTCTTGAACTTTTTCCGATTTTTTCCGAACCGTAGTATTTTTTTAAAATTTTCTTTCCATTACAAATTTCTATATAACTTTTGATAGATTTCATATGGCGCCACCTTTATTTTCTTATAATCATTGGATAATTGATTTTATTCTTACAAATAAGAAGAGAAGAGAGAGAAGAGAAGATTTAATATGTTAATCTTTTCTTCAAATCTCATGTTATCTTAGATTTGTTGGAATAGCTTCAACCAATGTTTAATTTTCAAAGAAGTCATATAAATAATATCTCTAAAAAGCTTAATATAAACGTAAATAAATATGTTGTTTTACATCTTAATAGCTATATTTCAGAATAAACTGAACGTTATTATGGATGATAAATCAGATGATTCGTGTATCAGTATGACTGTGAGTGTAGAAGAACAAGAATCTATTCAACCAACAAGATCTATTCGATCAACGACAGTTTCAAATTCCAAAAAAAGAGAAAAGAAAGGTGTTTTTAAAAAGGATTGGACATTAGATAAAGAATTTTCATCGTGGTTACAGGCAGTGAAAAATGATTGTAAACAAGCTCGTTGTAAAGCTTGTCTAAGAACTTTTAGCATTCGTGAAGGAAAATCAGCTTTAAGAAAGCACATGAATAGTGAAATTCATAAAACACATATGAAAACTTTTGGAAATAATATATTAATAACACATACTTCATTCGGTGAAGTACAAACGGTTTCAGCTATGGAAGGCACATTTGTTTATCATGGAGTAAAACATGGACATAGCTACATTTCTCAACAATGTACAACAAATCTAATAAAAGATTTATTTGCATCATGTTCCAACACTGCTAAAAATTTAGCATGTGCAAGAACAAAATCAAGAGCTGTTGCTTGTAATGTACTTGCCCCTTATTTCACATCCAAATTAATCGATGAAATAATACAATCTCGATTTTATTCAATATCATTCGATGCCTCAAATAAAGGCAATATAAAAACATATCCATTCGCCGTACAATACTTTACTGATATTGGAGTTAAAAGAGGTAAAGAAATATTTCATAATTCAAAGTTAATTTTTTTTCATATAGGAATTCTTCAATTTGTTGATGATCCACATGAATCAGCAAATGATATTTATAATAATATAATTAAGGTGATGGAAAATTATCAATTGAATATTCGAAATTTAACAAGTATTGGTGCAGACAATGCTAACGTAAATTTTGGTGAACATCATTCGGTGTTTAAATTATTTAAAGATCTTTGTCCATGTTTAGTAAAAGGTATATTAATATGTTTATTGTTAGAATGTTTTCATGTCTTTGAAATTTTTTATCTATATTATTATTTTATTTTCTTTTATAGGAAATTGTTTTGCACATGTTCTTCATAATGGAGTGAAACATGCACATGATGATTTATTGATTGATGTTGAATCCATTCTATGTAAAATATACTCTTTTTTTTCAAATTCAGCAAAGCGTGTTGAAGAATTAAAATCGTATTATGATTTTGTTCAAGTGGAATACCGTGTAGGCTATTTCTCTAATATAGATTGAAATGAACAGTAAACAAATTTATATCCATTCTTCATTATTATCTTTCAGGTTTTGTTGGAACACATTACTATAAGATGGCTAAGTTTATTACCTTCGATTCAACGTTTAATTGAAAATTATGATCCAATAAAAAATGATTTTTTAAATCAACAAATATCATCAAGAACAAAACCTAATAGAACTACTGAAAATCTTCTACTTTTCAAGAGTTTTTTTGAAGATGATTTTGGTTTGTGCATTTTGTTGTTTTTAGAAAATATGTTGGCTGATGTTCAACGAGCTGAGTTAAAACTTCAACGTGTTTCTACCACCGCCGTTGATCTTTTTGGTATTATTACAAACTTGATTAAAAAATTAGAACAACGATTAAATGATAAATATTTTGGAAATAAAACACAATTAATATTAAATCATCTAAAACAGTTCGATGAAGAAAGAAGTAAACAATTGCTAGAATCATTTCAATCATTTATTGAATCATTTATTGAATATATTAATTCTTATTTTGATAATGATAGAGAATTTTTTAGACGATTATCAGCTTTTGATTGTGAATCAAATGATTTTCTTAAATGGGATTATTTAATCGATCTAAGTAATTTATTACAAATCGATGGTTTAGATAGAGACGAACTCTATAATGAATATTGCGAAATAAAATTTATGTATGATGCAATGAAAAATAAAAATGTCAAACTAAATGAACAAATAAAATTATACATTTCAAGTAAAAATGTTTATAATTCAAAATCAATAAGTAATAATGATCGAATTCCATGTGATGTTAACGATGATGATACTGATGTTACATTAAATAATAGTGCAAGTACAAAAGCAAATGAATGCATTCGATGTGATCAGCTATGGTCATATTTATTAAATATTAAACCAAATTCAGCACCAAATATGAAATTAGTTGTTGCTTATGTATTTTCTATTCCATGCAGCAATTCTTATGTTGAATCAATTTTTAGTCAAATGAATCACTTATGGTCAAACTATCGAAATCGAATGGATATACAATTAATTGAAGCTGAATTACAAATCAGAATGAATTCTGATATTCATTGTTCACATTTTTATGACTTTCTTTTAACCCAAGACGAACTATTGACAAAAATAGCTACAAATGAAAAATTTGTTAGAAAGAAGCGTGTTGATAAGTGAACTTGAGTGTTTTTTAATAAGTGTTTTGCTTTTGAATTGTATATATATATATATATATATAAGTATAGTAGTCTATTGCGAGTTGTTTTTCTTGTATCAACATTCTCTTCTTGAAAATGATGTTTTCCAATGGTGTTATAATTAATGCATCTATTTTAACATTGATGAAATATATATACAGAAAGAATCATCAAACTCAGAAGACTTTTCTATCAGAAAAAAACCATTTTAAGCATCAAGAAACTTAAAAACGACTTTCCGAATTTTTGTCCGAATTAGTCAGATATTTTTTCCGAATTTTTCCGAATTTAAGCATGAAAATTCCGATTTCTAAGATTTTGATCTGGCAACCCTGTATCCCAAACTCTATTATAAGAATTGAGTGATTGAATATGTTAGTAGATTCAAATATTTGGGGGTACAAGTGACAGCAAAACTAGGCTGGGATAAGTATATCAATGAACGAATGAAGACTATCAATTAGGTATATAGAGCGATGCGTATAATATTTAGAACCATTAGGAAGAAAGATATTAAAATAAGAAGAAAAATCTTTTCATCCTTCGCCCTTCCACACTTTTTATGGTTATTCTGCACTTGGTTCTGTTTCACCGAAAGACAGAAAGAACGTATTGTGCATATGTACTGTACGGGACTTCGAATAGTATACTATCTAGCACAGTGAGACGACTTTACGGCGTTGGTCCTTTCTAGAGAGAAGTCGATCTATGACTATCTCTTTAAGTACTGGCGCCGCTTGATCCAACACCTCCTCACTACTGATGAAGCTACTGATTTTCAATTGACATGGTCAGCGTACTTGATCATAACTTCTCCTCATAGGGAGTGGTTCAAATCTATGGGTTTCAGATCCAACAGTATCTTCGCCGTAGATTGTGTAAACAACCCAAGCACTGTATTATCCATTGGATTGAGTTTGACAATGCCCATACCAAGCAATATGGCTGTTTCTTGAAGCCCAACGACCACAT